AGAGAGAGAGAGGCAACAATATTTTACTGTCATTTCAGAGGCCACATTATTTGAAAGGTCTGTACCGTGCATACAAAGTTCTGCCGCCAGATATGGACTATTCATGAGCACCCAGCTAACCTGCTTCTGTCAGTATTTGGCTACAGAATCATGTAATGAGACAACCGTGAAGATAGATTGCTAGTGAAGTTCCCCTTTCAGCAGTATCTATTGCCAAATTGGCTCATCAAAAGATTCCGAGGCCCTCTATCAACATCATCAATTCACCCTTCAATGTTGTGCCTCGAGCTTTGTCATCAGTTGTGTATATATTTCTGTCTCCATGCATGCATTGATAAGGGTAAGGGACACTCTCACCGTGTACTGTTGCTCTTGCCTTCTGTGCTGCCAGCCTGTGTGCCCATGCAACATCAAATACCGCTCACCTGTCACTCGTCGTCATTAGTGTGGAGATCAGCTGCAGGTTTCTGATCGCTCTGCAACCCAATCCCTGCAGTGATCTTTATCACGTATGAAAGTTACACTCATCATTTATAGTACACGAGAAGTCGTTGCAGGGTTCAATCCCATGATTGCTTCATCTTGTCAGCTGAATCACATATCGAAGATGAAAGGACCTGCGACTTCAGTGGCTGTAGATCGTTCCATCTCAGTTCCTTTATCTCGTGACCTCCATCTTGTGATCCAGGTGGTTGTGGCGTCTAGATGGGAAACAGAACAGGTTAACCCTTGTTCCCATCTCCGTAATTTTTTCTTGGGCTGAAGAGGAGGAAGAGTTGCTGATTCCATGGAGGTTTTCATCTTCCTGATGTATGTATAGTGGCGCCACCTGGCTTGCCAAGTCATGACCATAAGCCAAATGATTGTGAGAGGGAGATTAAGGTATCTACGAATACATAAAAGTGCAGCTTAGATTCTCGCTTAGTGCTGAAAGATCATCTTGACGAGTGGGTAACGAATGCTGATAAAGATGTATTATTCGTCAAATGAGGAAAAGAAATGTACTGCTAGTACTTTTGTCACTATGTCCATAGTAGCCAAGCACATGATCAGAGCAAATGCTTTCCAATTCAGCAAAAGGGGAGATAGCAACGACGACCATCGCCTTTGAATCCTGTTCTTTATTCACATACACATGAATTCAAAGCTTATTCACACTCATATCGATGCCTGCCTGCCATCGCAGACTAACTTGTGATGCAAGAAAGTAAACATGTGTTCCTGCCTCATTATTGTTGTTTGACCATTCGATCGTGCAGAGCGGATGAGTAATTCAGGTAGAAGAGTTGCAGAGCTTGTGGATTTGGACTCTGCTTTCCAGTTGCAGTTGAGGAGGAAGCTCATGGTGGACGGTGCACGTGTTGCTTCCGTTGCTCACGCCATTGGAGGTGGACAGAAGGGATATGGATGGATGCATGCATGCATTGGGTTGCGCAGGTTAATTGTCTTCCCAAAGGAATGGTTCTTCGATTCGGAACTCGACGCCGTCTTCCTCCGTGGAGGGCAGCCATGCAGAAGAAGAAGACGAGGAGGAGTAGCAGAATCCTTCTCTTAGGCCGAGGAAGAGATCTGGCAGGTCAAAGAGCGCGTCGTCGTCGCCGCTCGGCGGCGTCGTGGGGTCCGGCTGCTCGGCCTGGTCCGGGGCCGAGCACTGGGAGGTCGTGCATGGCCCACAGAATGTGGCCGCGGCGGCGAGGGCTGCTGCGGCCTGGACGTCCTTGGGAGCCGCGGTGGCCGGCCGCGGCAGCTCGGCGGCCAATTCTGGGAAATTGAGGTGCGCGGACTGGCCCTTGATGGCCAGCGCCGCCACGTCGTGCGCCCGGGCCGCCATCTCCGCCGTCGGGAACGTCCCCAGCCAGATCCGCGACTTCTTCCTCGGCTCCCGGATCTCCGACACCCACTTGCCCCAATTCCGCATTCGAACGCCACGGTACACCGGATGCTTCCCATCCTTGCTTCGCTTCTCGGCTCCACCCCCACCACCAGCAGGAGCAGCCTGAGCCTGTCTCTTGGATCCACTCCTAGACGTCTTCTTCTCCTTGTTCGAGCTTTGACCAGGTAGTTCCGGTGAGGCATTGGGGCAGCAAGAGGTGGCCATGGAGGACAAGGAGGACGAGGATGCGGAGGAGGTGATGGTCGAGGAAGAAGAAGAAGAAGAAGAACAGGTGTTAGCTTCACATTCTTGGAGGAGTAACTCTTCTTCCATGGAGGGAGAAGGAAGCCAAAAGGTGCTCGAGGAGGAGGGGCAATGATGAGTGGCAGCATAAATAGCAAATGTGATGGGCTCTCATGATGCCCAGCGAGAGACCTGCAATTAAAATTAAAGAAAGACGATGCATGCATTTATGCTGTCACTGATTACATTGGGAATGAGTGGCCTACTTACATTGACTCAAACATTTACTCGCCCCTTTTCTTCTCCCAAGTAAACCCAAAAAGTTTACTAAGTGTGTGTGTTTCATGTGCCCATTTGGTTGAAACTTTATTATTTTTAATTAAAATAATTATTTTTGATGAATCCAATTTGAGTTAAATTCTAGAATCTTAGTAAGATTATTGTGTGTCTTGGAGAACATAAATAATTATGCGATTTTGACACATGAATATAAATATGATATATATATATATATATATGAGAAATTGACAGATGGATGATTATGGGCAGGAGAAGATGGTCCAGTGGTGCAGAAGAGGCCACGAAAGGTGGAGGAGTTTCTTACTTATTTAAGCAAACCAAAAGTACTTAGATTATGCTCCACAATTATACATCCAATGAGGGCATTAAGACTATAAATCTGTTTTATGTGATGCCGCCATAGTCCTCATCACATCAAAAAACTTCGCCCACTTAAGTGTACTACATGCACATCAGAGAGAGAGAGAGTGTGTGTGTGTATACCAACATAGGACATTACAGTAGGAAGGAAGAGGGGTTGTCATGTGGGACCCTGAAAGGGGAATGGTTGTGTAGGATGCTGCCACATGACCAAACTGATCTGATCGGGTCTTCCTGGCACAATCGTAAAAACATGGCCTGAAGAGATACAGTGGCCAATGAAAGTGTCAGATATGGCGGTGGTGGCTGCCCCCACACATCTTAAACATAGACGTGAATGTGGTCTAGTCACATGACAGCAATCAGTTTCATCAGCCCTGCCACCTACCAAATTGCATTGTCTTCGTCTCCCCCACTGCAGCTTGAACCAAGATTTAGGTAGCAGCCCACTCTCAATGATTAGATGGTCAAATTAATCTCTCTCTCTCTCTCTCTCTCTTCCGGCAACAATGCATTGGAGGCAAAACCACCACGTCCTCCTCATAGTAACCGGATCACACGATATAGATGCCTATATATTCATCATGATACGTTAACCGAGAATCCTGATATTAAATATGAGCCGTCCGTCATGTTATGATCATAATGTTGGATGATTTGACAAACATCTTCATGGCTTAATAATGATCAAAGAATTTACATCCTCATAAGTTAATTGGGAGTCTCTCTAACGTGTGGGGATAACCGAAATATGAAATCGCACTCATGATGGTCTATGCACGTTTGTCAAAGCAACACGCCGTGATCTCACTCTACTGGCACGTGCCGACAACCTGTTTGTGGTTAGACCATAGACTGGTCCACCGCACAGGAGTGGAGGCCATGTGGCGGTGGGTCATCACGAATCACGAGGTCTCCAACCCTGCCAAACCAAGGTCTCGTTTCGAGCCATAATAATAATAATAATAATTGGCAACTGCTGTTCCCTCAGACGACCCCTCTCCTCTCCTTGACACAACCACCCATCAGCAGCAACTGCTGTAAATTTCGTGATTACCGATCATGAAATGTTGAATTTTCTTTTCTTTTCTTTTTTTCAGATTTATCCAAGCTCATCACGGATCATTATCATGATTTTGTATTTTCAGTAAGTATAGTAATTTCCAAGTGAACCTTCGATATCTTGATGATCCTATACATGTATATAAGATTCAGGCACATGATTCGAGATTCCTTGCGGAATCTGTCCTTCCCAAGAAAGGATCTCATGATTCAACATTCTTAACAATATCTGGTACACAAGTAGCACGTGGTTTCTAGGACAGAGTACTCAACTCCCTACGTTGGAATGAATGATGCTGATCAACTTCATGGCAGCAAATCATATGACAACTGATGGACGTCCAACTCATCCATGTGCAAAGCCACCAAATTCCAGTATATATATATATATATATATAACGTCGGATCCGTAAAATAATGAGAAAAACTAAGCATCTGATGGTTAGTGATCAAACTATCGTATGGGCAGATGTGAACAAATAGATAAAAAGTACAGATGGGTGTATGAAAATTACCTCTGGGCACAGTGCACGCGTGCAGCTCTATCCTTGTCTTCATCTGAAACTTCCTCCTCTTCCCGCTGCTGCTGCCTTATCCTCGTTTGTTCTCCGATGCTAACATCATATGGAGTGGTTTCTTCACGTTTATCAGCTTCATGTCAGACAACTGATAGGCTGCTAAAGCTTGCAAGCAGAATTTTATGCAGAGAACGGCATTGTTCAGGTGAGAAGGCACCGGAACTTGATGTAAAGGCATCCCTTCACAGTTGATTACTTACAGAAGAAACATGCCAGATTAATGTTGTTACATGGAAGCTGAAAACCAATTAGAGAAGGTGAATAAGATTTACCAGGTTTCACGACTTCCCCTGGATTTAACTGGATGAGCAACCGTCTACCATCGAGATGAGTCAGAGCAAATTGTGGAAGGCACAAAATGCCTGTGCCAGACTGAGCCAATGTTCCACATAGAGATCACCAAATGCTCTCTTGAACTGCGGATGCTCCTGGAGTTGTACGATGACGATAATGTGTCCCGTCACTGTGTCAGGCTGCAAGATTTGTATTTTATCAGCAGTATTTAGACAACAAGAGAAAAAGGGTAGAGGGCACTTATCCTTTCTGCTGATGATCTCACCTGCATTAATTATAGGTTTGAACAAATCGACTGGGAAAAGATATCTCTGCTCTTGTTATGTCACAAGAAAATGGAAATAGTCTGTGACACCTGAGCTGCTGTATTGCTCGTACGTATGTTGCATTTGTTGGATCATGCCTAATCCAAGCATTCTTGTTACAATCTTCAAGCCTCTACCTTGACATGAATGGCATGTCTCTGATTTCCCACTCTTGGAGCCTTTCGTGGACAAGTAGAATCAATCAAAGGACAAGTAGTTTTGCTACAAGTTTCCACTTATCTATAACCTATAGAGGGAAAACAAATTATGAATCTTCAATTGGAAAGGTGCTTCACTTAGGACAGGAAAACTTATGCATGGGATTTGAGCTAAATTAAAGATTTCGCTTTGACCCCATTGGACAGGTCATTCCAAGACTGCTGAATCAAGTTGGGCTTCGACTAATAACAAGGGCACACTACACAGATTCCATGTTTCAGGTAAGATGGATATGATATAATCTAACTTAATTTTCAGGTAAGATGGATCTCCACTGTCACAATAATTGATCGATTATATTCTTTTCTATTCAGAAACATAACATGAAAATTGAGTACCTTTTGAGATGCATTATAAATGTAAGGTAACTATCACTACCTGTAGAATCCTATAAGCACCAAACAAATCTCATCTGAACCGAGTCTTTCATGACAATAGATGAATTCATAGCCTTCTATGATTAAAGATAAGAACCAACAAAATAAAATTTGAACTTAATTAAACATTTGAACTGCATCATTTCCTTCTTGTTCTACTTCCCCCTTCTTTCTTCAGAACCGGTTCATTTTCATTAAGATTTATCTGTTTGGCACCTGGCATTGTCGAAATTAAGAATCTACTTGCATTATTCATTAAGTCCTAGAAAATGTATTCTGAGGTATGCAAGCAGTAAAACTACTTCACTATCAATTGGCATGACAGACTGTTTCACATTAGAGACTTTTCTAACTCCAGTAACCAATAAAACATCTTAACACTCAGACACATTGTACAAATTTGGTGAAAGGTTACAGAAGTTAGTTGGTATAATCCGAAATTAATAAGATCCATGTTGGGTCATCTTAGGTTTTGGTTTGGACTTCAATTATTCTGATGAGCTTTAGGAATTTTAACAAGAAACCATTTCTTTTAGATTCTGTTTTAGGAACCCTTAAGTGGATTTGGATGCTTGGCAACTGTTTAAATCAGCTCATTTCATTTTACTACTTCACAGCCAATTTTATTTCACAAATTCAAGAATATAACATTTGGCAAGTCAGCTACTAGCATCCATGGTTATAAGAAGTCACCATGAAGGCCACCATTGCAGATGCACTGGTGGCTTGCAAAGGTCAACAAGGAAGTACAAGTTTAGAAACACTAATGAACATAATTACCAAACTTGATTGTTATTTGGTACTACAAACCCTGGGGTGAAAGCATGTTTATCGAAAAACTACTACTTCAAACAAATCTTAGACACATCAAAAGCATTTTCCAAAATCCAGGGAGACCAATCAAAGTGCCAATAAGTTTCTTATGATAAAAAATTATTAACTAAAAATGTCCACCATCGTAATAAAGAGGAGAAAATCTCCCTCGGTGCTTGGAAGTTCCAAAAGCATTTTGGTGTAACATGACCACAGAATGCTCAACGAGATGCATGTTCTGCAACTTTGATAAAAGCCTTTTTTCTTTTAAACATTTGCAAAACCATTACCATGAAAATATTGTGTCAGCTTGAATCAATTAAAATCTCAGTTTATAATACCAAAAGAAGCACTCAATCTATGTGTAAATTTTTATCATATAACTACTACTAAAGCTAAGAGGAAAAGTTTTTACAAACTAAGTGCATTATATACATAACTGAAAATTGGACTATTTTTGGCAAATAACACACCCTTTGCGTTTTGGAATTGAAAAATTCTCCACAAGGAAAGCTCATTATGCGTAGAATGTATTGATATAAGAAACTACCGAATCTAAATGAAGAAAAATTTTGCAAACTAAGTGCATGACACACATAGCAGAAAGGAACTAGGTTTGGTAGACGACATACCCTATGCATTTTGGACATAGCACATTTCTCGACCAGGAAATCCTTTTGCATGCACCGTTGTACAAGTCTTCTAAAGAAACCGTTAGCTATGAACTACATCTTCACCACTTCTCTAGGTATATATAATGTCTAGAGTTGCCACCTTCAGATTAACAGAGCTTCATTGAATGAAACCAAAACAGAGAATAAAGCATTTGAACAATCAATACTCACCTCCAAAGGTCCCACCGCCAAAAAAAATGTTCAAATATTTCAAAAGGATAATGAGATGTGTCTCCACCTCCCATGAGGGCATCTTTCCTGTATTTATCATCAATTTCCCTCTTTTTAGGGTCACTGAGAACTCCATATGCTTGAGAACTCCTCGTACTGCTCCAAATCATAAACATCAAATCACAATCGATGATACAACTGAAAGAAGCAATTGAGATATCACGATGGACAACTTTTAGCAGGAAGACAACAGATGCTTCTGCACAAGCAACACATGAGGCAACGACAGCATCCTATGAAATAAGCATTCAGAAAAAGAATTAACACGACCAAGAGAACTACTGATGAGATGGAGGACGGTCTTACTTTCTCAGCGTCACCAACTTTATCAGGATGATTCTTCATGGCTGCCTTCTTATAGGCCTGCTTCAGCTCATCCTGGCTTGCACTCTTTGCAACACCAAGAATCTCATAGTAATCGGGACCGTCACTCCCCGGCGCACCCCCAAACATGATGACCGACCTCACACTAAATCAGTAAAACTATGCGAAAGATCAAGCCAAGAACCGATTTTCCCACCGGAACGGCGGAGAATCAGTAGAAACATCGATGCAATTCTTTTCTTGAAATCTCGGATCAAAACCTAGCCTATTTTTTCCTCAAAAAATTCGAGGAACACAACAAATTCGACAAGAGGAACAGAGAAAAGAGAAGAACTTTACCAGAAAGGGATGGAGATCGGAGCCGGTGGAAGCGCGACGTGATCGCGGGCGCAAGTGGTGGACGCGTCGAAGCGGATTTCGAGGGCGAGAGGACGAGATGGTGTCGGTTTATATAGGAATGAGACCCCTCGCACGGGCTACGCTTCGGAGAGCTCGGAGTGGTAGAAGCCGTTGGATGATGAATTGGACGGTGGATGTATGCTGGTAAGTCGTCCACTAAAACCACTCTCTCCTCGTTGACTTCGAAACGAGGATGACGTGTAAGAGACATGTCTGAAAATGTGTGTATTAGTGAATCCAAAGTGTCGTCATCGAAAGATATTGTCTACCACGAGCTCATCTAACCTACTAAAAATACTTGCGACAGTAAGATTCGTTAACTAAGTGATTTTTTTTTCTAACGTGATATTTATAGTAAGCGAGTCAGGACATAGGCAGTAATTAAAGACCACTTTCGATGAAAATGGGTTGGTTCAACCATAACGATCATCGGATGTGGGTTAGTTGACTCGACATGATCGGTTAGGACTTGTGACCCCCAAGCAATGAATCTTTGCTTGATGGTCTCCATGCATTAATAACAAGCCATCACCTTGGAACACAATGTTACTGTAAGACATGGGATCGGCCTCGTCCGATCCTTATGCCTCATCAATCCTCTCCATCACCTTTCGTGTCGATACCCGTCACTTGGTCACTCTCCTTTGCCACCGTCGCCCTCCCATACACTTGTCCAGCCTCAAGATGCACAACCCTCTCTACATCCTAACTCCGAGATCCAACCGTACAATTAGTGAGCGATCCACGTGCCGATAGGTTGGCAGATCCATGTGCTGAGAGAGAGAGAGAGGAGGACTACAACAGCCACTGAGTTTGCTCTAGACCAACATTTAAAGAAGTTGCTAATAACTGAGTCATAGGTGTCTCAACTTGTAGCATTCATGTGAAGTCAGTGAACTGAAAAGATGGAGCTAACAGTTTTACAATCTACAATTCAGCCATTTGATCTGAATGCAACTGGTTCCATAAGGAAATTCTTCAGAGGTAAAGATTAGAATTTCTTGATCCTGGTGTGACGACATTAACTTCATCTTAGGGTGGGCAAATACATGATGGCATAGCCTTCCTTCTCCCGTCATGCAGTTCATGAACCACAAGTATTTATTTGGTACTCCACATTGCAGCAATCTAGCCTTTGGTATCTAGATATCCTTCCCAAACTGTCAGTGCTGCATTGCACAACTAAAATCAGACTTTTGAAAGGATCCACAGTTAAAAATGTTGAACCAGGATGCATCTTACAGTAAACTTTGGACAAACATTAGAATGGTATACCAAAAACAAGCTTTCCGTGACAAAGGAGACCATGAAAAATCAAATACAGATTTGATAAACGATTAAGTACACTCATTTTGAAAGCAATTGGGGATGAAGCATCATCGGTTTTCAATAGCTGAACTGCTGAAACTTGTCCTTTTTGCAATATCCTTAGAACTAAACTTCTATATAAATATATATGTCCATAAGTGATGAGAGCTGATTGTTCCCTTCCGCTCAGACAAAAAACGGGGCATGTGTCGATTCCTTCTGATGTTGTGCTTTGCACGTAAAGCTGAGATCAACTACTTAGCTTCATTCCCTTCTACAGAGTTCCAAAGACAAGAATGCTGCCTCAGATGTAAATCTCACTCAAACACTGTTTCAAGTATTTCATGTTCTTCCTGAAAAAAGAAAAGCATCTTTTTCTCATGAATGATTGTATCCAGACTGTTCATCCATGTTTATTGTGAAATCAATGACAAGGAACTGTTTAACCGTATTACCAACATAAGAATGATGAAAAGATGCCCTACAACTTGCAGGTGTTCTTCTTCCTCATCAGCTCGATGTTTTCTGCTATTGTCGACCCAGCAGTCCCCACAAACCCCAGTGATGCACAGCTGCAAACTGATTCTTCTATATACAAAAGAATATCTGGTAATAACACTTGGTTACAAGCTTTCTTCTTCCGTGATCCTTCATAATTTCTTGGAAGGACACTAGACCTGATACCATTTTCTGATGCCATTAGTCTCTTGGCTGCCTCCATGACCAATTCAGAGTTTTCTTCCATGGAATATAGTTGATATGTTGAATCTTTTGCAAGGTCCGCCAGGTAAGTACCAGTCCAGTTTACAGAAGGAAGATCTGTCATGAGAAAAATATTAATAGGATCACTTAGTATCCTTTGATTTGGTTTCAGTTCTAGGGACTTCAACTTCTGCTCCAGAGTTGAAAATGTAGTCTTCCAATGGTTCTTAAATTGCCCATCTAACAACCTAAGCTGAGCACAGAGAAAAGGCTTTCTAATTTTGTTCAGAGCAAACTCCTTCCCTGCAGCCAGGATTTCTGGGGCAAAAGGAATAAATTCCATTTTCTTGAGCAAAGATTGTATTCGTGGGTCTCCTGGCACTTCATGGATATCAATATATGACTCAGAACCTCTGTAAGGTGCTGAAAAGAGCGTTCCAAAAGCCAGGATCGGGGACATTGCAGCTTTTGATCCAGGCCCAAGAGCTTTACTGATACTTCTACGTTTTCTAACATATGAAATTTTCTTCTTTTTCAGCAACTCTTTGCCGGCCTGAAACGAGTCCAACGTTTCATCATTGTCCTGAAGGTATGTCCACACAGTTGTCCTACAATCATCTTCTACAGCATATGTACACTGGTTATTATTACCCTGCAAGCCAGATAGCAATGATCTGCACTGATCAAAATTTCCCACAGCAGATTTTATGCCAGAAATGGCACAACATAAGCCACCAGAGCAAGCTTGCTCCATGTTTAACCCACACCAAGCTGAAGCAAATATCCTAAAATCAACTGTTCTAACCATAGATGATGTCACCACAGACAGATCAATTATGTCTCCCATTGATACATACCTGAAAAAGGAACACAAGATTTTTCAGAAATACTAACAAACAGCAGCCAACACTGACAAAAGAAGAATTAGTCACCCACAATCTAAAAGAATTTTTAAGTTTGATTTTGGGTTTTGGTTGTGGTGTATTACAAACTCTACAAAGTTGTGATATAACATACTGACTACAGCCTGGGCAAAGACTAATCCCCAAAATTGCTGTCGCTTCTGGTGGAGGTAATTGGAGCTGGTTTAAATCAATAAACATAGGTAATGCATGATACAGATTTCAAGAGCAGCGATCAAGGTACTATTATTCTCCACTCATTTTTTGACATGATGCTTCCTAGCAGAATCGCCTTTCTTCATATCAGCCTCTTTTGCCCAGGCTGACACACCACGAAGTGCGAAGTATACAGATTTCACTGGATAAACAATTGAAGTTTCTTGATTGGTGACTTCAAAAAATCAATTTGATGACAGGAAACTGCTTGTTCATTTAACATTTACTGAATTCCCATGAAATTTCTTGGTTTCGATCCTCATCGGACATAATTGAGAGCAGAAAATCAATTAATAGCCACTCACCTCCGATCTCGAACGAGCTCCATGATGTGATCCCACACTGCCGTCCGGAGCTCGGTGGGGCTGGAGACCCTAAACTTGGGGCAACTACCCAGGACGACGGCATGGTGGTCGAGCACGGGGGGCACGATCAGGGTGCGGTTCAAGATGGCGGCGAAGAGGATGGCGTTCTTGAGCTCGGAGACCTGGTTGCTGAACCCGCTGTGTGGGGCGAACCAGAGAAATCGCTCGCCGCGGAGGGAGAAACCGCATTGGGTGGATCGAGCAGCGTCGAGGGTTCCGGATGAGGAAGGGAGCAGGGAGCGGAGGACATCGGCGGTGGAGGAGAGGCAAAAGGCGAGGAAGAGGGCGAAGAGGACGAGAAGGGCAACAGAGAGGAAGAAGAGGGGCTTGTTTCTTGGGCTTCTCTTCCGCCATCGACTCATCTCTCTCGCTCTATACTCCCACCGCCGTAACCAACGCTCGAGAAAGGTGTCTTATTGTGACTTATTTCGGTGGCTCGATCCCTTTTAAATTATATATATATAAACGTTGTCCGAAAAAAGATCTTTTTTATCCTTTTTATATAATTTTCAAACAATTATCTCATATTTCTAATATTTTAAAAATATCAATTTTCTCGCTCAAATCTTAAAAAAAAATTCGTCAATTATTTAAAATATCTTTTAAAAATTATTTCTTGCAAAAAATCTAGTTTGGGATCTTTCAATAGAGATATAATATTTTTTATTATAATATTTTTTAATATGGTGATAGTGTTTTTTATTACTGAATGAAAAACACAATAATTTCATTGAAACACATTATAAATGAATAATATATCACTATTTTAAATGATTGTAAATAATATAAGGTTGTTTAAAATATTTAGACCTAAATTTAAGACAGTGGAAAAAAAAATTAAAATTTTCATTATGGTTTAGTATGAAATAGGTCAAGATCTTCATAATTTTCATTGGAAATCATTCGGATTCTCATATTAATAATTTTATAGTAAAATTGATATTTATCTTTAATAAAAATTTTAATAGAAAATTAGTTATAATTTCTTTATTAGAGTTGTAACATTTTGATTCAGTGACAAAAACACTAGACACTATAAGTCCATTCAAAATTATTCTAAATCATAATATTTTTATATAATATAAATAATATAAGATTTTTCAATAACTATATGCCTAAATTAAGGTTGCATAAAAAAATAAGGACTTGTCATCCTTAATTTTCAAATATATCAAAATATTCTTAATTTATATTAAAATCATTTAAAAACTCATAAATAAAATATTTTATTAAATCTTAAAACATATAATATGGTTAATGATTAATGTTTAAGATTATCTAAATTGATTAAGGAGTCATAGTGTTTTTAAATATGATAAACCATTTCAATAAAAAAAAATACTATAACTTTATTAAAAAATAATAACTTATTCAATTTAATATGATTTGAGAATTATAAAGTAATATGGATAGATGTTACTTTAGTATCCGATGATTTATATCTAACGTCACATGATTAATACCTCAATACCACATGATTGATACATCAATGTCATATGATTGACATCTCACAGTTAAATTACCGACACCTGGGCATCGAATGGGTGATGCATCACTAGCCTTTAGGTGATATGATAACCAACTTAGTCCAATAAAAATTGGTACAAAAGATTGAATCAACCAACCATTATCCTATATTTATCGAATTTGATACTATGGTTGAAGGATACATGTAATCCTTCTGAGTATTAACTATGACCTCAATCCAATGATCAAATTATCACTCTATAAGAGCCATCAACTATGTTCTCAAGGAAGCCAGCCAGGTGGATTATAAGAGCTATCAAATTCGAAGAAACTTTTACTAATTTAAGTATCCGAGAGATATTATCAAGCCCTTGGCATAGTTCTTTTTTTATATAGGATCCATTGTTGAACTTATATATCTCCCAATATCAAGTTTGTGAGATCCGTTCACATGTTAGATAATCAAATTTTGCTTTAATAGACCGATGTTACGAGGGCATAACAAAAAAATGACACACACTATCTAAGCATAAGGGCTACCATTGGAGCTAAGCAGGGAGGGTTGCAGTTGCATCATACCATCCTTTGGTAGGATAAAGTAATAGTTTAAAAAGTTAATTTCCAACAGTAATATAGTTGAACCATTCTATCAAAGGAAAAAAAATTTAATACGAATATGGTTGAACTGCTCGAGAGGATGGTTCTTAACACCAACATAGCCAAACCCCCGAAGAGTTGGCTGTTGACACCATTACGGTTGAGCCCCTCGAAAAGATGGCTCTCGATACTAATATAATAGAATTGTTTGAAGAAGCAAATTTAGATACTGATATGGTTAAACTACTATAAGAGGTCATTCCTGACACCAACATAACCAAACCACTTAAAGAGATAGTTTTCAACACCAATATGTTCAAATTGCCCGAAGAGGTGTGTTTCGACACCAACACCACCAAATAACCTGAAGAGGTGTCACTTAACACCAACACGACCGAACCATCTGAAGATGTGTCTCCCAACACCAACACTTTCAAACCGCTTGAAGAGACAACTCATGATAATGATGTGACCAAATTGGCCCAAGGCGTTAGTTCGACAACAACATGGTTGAATCCGTCAAAGCACTCATTTCGATGATAGCATGATTGAATCAGTTCAAAATGTTTCTTTTGACAATGCAATCGAATTAGCCCAAAGCATGACTAAAAGAGTCCAAAATGCTCATTTCAATATAATTAAATCAGTCTAAGATGCCACTTTGATGATAATGCAATCAAATCAGCCTAAGGTGCTATTTTGAGGATAGCACGACCAAATCAGCCCTAAGGTATTATTTGGATGATAGTGTGATCGAATCGGTCCAAAATAACACTCCTTTTAATGATAATACGATCGAAATTAGCCCAAAGTAGTTCTTTTAATAATAGTACAATTAAATCAATGCTCCTTTCGCAATATCATCAAATCAACCCAAAAGACTCTTTTTTATGACATCACAAGCGAATCAACCCACAACACTTTTTCGACGATAAGATAGCTGAATCATCCTCCTTATGATAAATAGTCAAATAGAAACTTCATCATGCCCTAACTCCACTATCTATGTATTAGGGAGCAAGTGATTTGAGAATCATGATATAATAAGGGCTATCGACACCTCAATATCATGATATAATAAGGACAATCAAATTCTTCTACTTAACCTATCTTACTGGCTTGGGAGAAAATTTTGAGAATTACAACCGGCACTGATGATATGTTCGTCATATATTAAAAAGTGAGATTCTCTTTAGACATCAAGGGGTGCTATCCAGAAAACCTGAAAACTTGAGCTTTTCTAGATATTCACACTCATGCAAAGAGTGATTTCTCTTTTCTTTTCTTTTGTTTGCCTTTTTTTCAAGGAATTTTAAGACTACTTCATAAAATAAAAAAGCCTACTTCTCAATCTGCAATTCTTTTCATCATATTTCTCCAATTATTCTCAGAATGAGAAATACTGAGAGGGTTGAAGACTAGCTAGCTCACAGTTGATCCTGATTTATGGTACTTGCATAGTTTAGAGAATTCCTAGAAACAAAAAAACTCACCAATGTTTTGAATTGGTCAGAGCAGTGATTTGCAGTGAAACATCCACAGTTCTTGCCACTTCAAATACAGCAAATCCAGCAATCTACACATAATATCAGTGATAGCCACACCATTAAGTAAACAAAACAAAATAAAAAAAACACTCAATTAGTAAACAATGGTAAATAAACTTGAATCTTGAATCTTTTATGCTAGTTACACATTACATTTGTCTTCAGCATATAATACATATAGAAAATAATGAATACATATAACATATTTAAGTTCTTGTATAAAGATACAAGTCCTTGAAGCTGTACATTATTATTAACAGGCACAAGAACAATGAATGATTATGTGGTCAGCAGCAGGAGGCAGATGGTTAGCATGGATTCAATTGTATTCTGATGGAAAAAGCAAGACTTCTGAAGACCAGAGTAGCATCCCCAGCAACACAACACCTTAATTAGATTAAAACAGGAAGACATGCTCAGCACATAAATCACACGATATCAAAGACTAGAAAGTGAACTATCATCGATATAACAGAAAGCAAATGAAAAATAGATCTCCTGGACAACACATCAACTTTGGTTAGAAATCATACAACGCTTGGGAATACATGTTTATCAGGTTTATTAGAGTATATGCAACATCTTTTGATCTCCAGATTATCTTCAGTCTATTCTTAATTCATGTATAACAGATCCTTATTATGTTTTCCTCTGATAAGCATCAACGTAAAAGTAACCAAGTAAGCATCACAGGATATAAACCAGTCTCACATGCATTTAAGTTCTGCACTTATTTAATTCTTGGCCCTGAATCTTGAAATGGGAAAGCTATCCTAATTCCGAAAGACTTACAAAGAACATACTGTGTAAATCCATTCAAGAGTACAAGTAGAACGAAAACAGGCCAGCAAAGTCCAACTAAGCGTATGTTCTGTTAAACCAAAATTTAATAACATGAATTTGGAAGCTACTTGTTAATTGTTATCCAATTCAATGAACTCAGTTCAGAACCACAGCTATCTAAAAAGTGCAGTTTAACTTTTAGAACTAGTGCTTACTTTCAGTGACTTCAGCAGTGGGAAACTGAAGTTGTTCCAAAACAGTTACGTCTGCAACCAAGAACCTATGGTATTTGGGTGCATTTTATGTGCCACAGTTGCTGTTTGATTGGAAATTGCTAAATACCAATGACCAAGGATGCTAATCAACTGATCATTTACGAAAATATCAGATAAGAATGGCAGTCTGAGGAAATTGTCCAAAAATGCAGTTACTTCCATGGTTCCGTGATCATCTATTAACAAGAAGGCAAGGATAATTATCACAGGACAAACCTTCACTTGTTGACCCTGTCCGGATAGTTGGATCATGTATGAGCCCTTGTGGATGGATTAGCATGGAAGGCGGATTGCCTCTTTGAACCTCCAAGCAAAAACAGTGAAGATGCTGTTTCTCCAGCAGACTCTCCTATGCTCAGTTTTGACATACCAACAAGTTCATCAACATTTATGGGGGTCCTTAAATGTACTGCTGTTGGCTTAATAATTTCATGTGCCTGTTGCTCTGAAGTATCTGCTTTGTCTCCTGACCAATGAGGGAATGATAATTGTAGAAATGGTGAAAAATAAGCTGGACGTAACACAGGATAACTGCACTGAAGAGCTTCCGGTTGTGGGACAACTGCTTTCTCATCATTAGAGTCCATTGATTCAAAATCCTCATTCAGTGTTGGAGGCACTGGAAGGGGCTTGTTATTTTGTGCCTCTGATTCCTGGAAGTTCATTAGAGATGGTTGAGCTTCGAGGGGCTGAAAAATTATAAGGTGGGATAGTTAGGCATACTGAAAAAATGATTTTAGAAACAGATTATATATGTGGCTAAAAATTAATCCTTCCCACCTTTCTAAAGAGGTCTCCTTTGCACGATTTCTTTAATGTAACAATAGCATACATCAACCCTCATCTGCGACCAAACAAGTAAAGGAAAGTGTGTGTGTGTGTGTGTGTTAATTAGAAAAGAAAACCCAATAACTCAACTATATTCACAGGCTTCCATTGAGCACTTGCTGTAGGACAGGGCTCAAAGAACTTCATTATCTGGATCTTTGACCTTAAGGTTTTGAAAACTTTCTTTGCAAGACCTCCAGGCATGGTAGTTCTACATGTAGAGATCCACTCTTGGCATGTTTTGAAAATTATTTTTCTCTAAGAAGTCATTCACCTTGCTCAAATTTCAGAGATGCAGGAAAGAATGTTCCTAAGTCTGTCAATCTTGACTTGGCAACTATACACAGTATTGGGTATTTAAACTTCTTCTCTCCAGAAATCCTTTCATTTTCACTAAACTGTATGGTTGATAGATAAAAATGGTTCCATAGAGTCTTCGGTATCAGTAGCCCTCACAGAAATAATCGATCCCAGAAAGAAAAGACACAGATTTAAGGGGTCATCAGTCCTTGATAAATCACAGAAAGGGTCCAAACTTATCTGAATGTAATAGATTAGGCTGAAATACTGTGAATAATATGTCAAAATCCAATCATGTTGACATGATGTGGCATTGTGCATGTCTAATAGACAATCATAAACATTTTCCCCTAAGGAAGCTAAAATGAACAGATGCAAACATCTGCTCATTACAGTGACAGAGAGAGAGAGAGAGAGAGAGAGAGAGAGAGGGACCTCATCAGGTTCCATGTCAAAAAGGCTTGATCTTCTCTTTCTTCTTGTTGTATTGGCTTTCCGAATAAAATACTTCTGTGCATGACTAGCCACTTGAGTAGGTGATCTTGATACCACATAGTTACGGGATATGCCTCGCCAATCACCTTTACCAAGCTTTTGTAAGCCGAGTAAAAACAACATATGTTCTTCTTCAGTCCACGGATTACCTGCATATATCATCAACAAAGAGCCCATGCAACTATCATCAATCAAGCTCCAGATTGGAATAACACAGCTGCTGGTTATAAACACTGAATCGGAAACTGAAATGGACGTGATACCAAGAAAATTTTCCATGTCGACGAATCTAGTACAGTTGAGCGATTTTTTATACATGCACAAGCTTGGACTGTTGTTCTACTTGTATCTAAATGTATCTTTATTTTTCTCAATTTTACTCTCCTCTCCATCTTTTAAGCCATATATAGGAACTTTCTGTCAAGATGGATTAGTGGAAGTGCCATCCATGGAGGGTTTGCCACTTGCTAGGAAGTCAGTTACAACCTGTGGGAGCCACAGCTCAGGGTTGCATTGTGCGTTGCCAATGTTACTGTGTGGGGGGCAGTAGAAGTGGCTTTCAACTGGAATAGATTCTATTGGTTTTATCATGACACAATGACTTTTTTGTTTTGTATCAATCAGTAGAATATCTGGTGGTTTGTCACCAACTTGTCTTCTTTATTTCTCAAAATACTTTTATCTTCTCCAGATTTCCTTTTATATTCTTAGAACAACCCAACTAAACTATGAGACTCTATCACCTCCCAAGAATCGAACGAATTTTTATATCAAACCCTAGTTAGTCACCAAAACCTATGCTGCATCACCAACCACTTTAAAGGTTCAGTATATTTCTTTGCATTTCTTTATGTTTTCCTCAAACAAGCTCCATTTCTTTGTTTATATCTAAAATAAGCAGGCCAACCAATCAAACTAAACTGTAAAAGTTGATCCATTCATTTTTCTGTGGTTGCCATTTCTGTCGGTTTGTTTCCTGTCAAATTTTTAGCAACTTGGCTCTTCTTATTTGGATCAGAAAGCTACATCCTTGGGACTGATTATGAAAATTTCAATAAAGTTGACTACCCATTTGGTTAGAGTATTTATTAGTAACAGCACAGCTACAAGAGAAGTCATTTATTCTTCGACAGCCTTCCTTCTAAAATCCAGATAAAGTAAGAGCACGGTTAGTGGCACCAAATACCAATCCAGAACAAATCATCCCTTCCAGTGCCTGTCATAGAAGGAAATGTAGGCAGCCTAATAGAAGTTTTCATTGCCATCTTCCCTCTACCTATAACTTCTTCATACTGCTCCGGAAACTAATAATTGTTCAGATACCATCATTTCCTACACAGTGAAAACCAAGATAGCAAATCTAAAGCAAAAACAAAATCCTCAAGGAGATCCTGAAATCGTGACGCATAGATCTCATCCCTTACAAGTCCAAGATGACCCAAAACTTAATTATATCCTTCATGAAGAGAGAACATGCATTTGAACAAAAAAATTTGGGACCCGAATAAGAATGCCTACAAGCTAACGTGTGGATTCTACTCAGCATACACACATGTTAAGTTTGGAAAGCAGAACAGACGGGCAGATCACACATTTCATTTCAACTTTCCGCTAAGTGTAACCAAATCCAGACCTTTACATAATATTTGATTGAGATAAGAAAGAAAGCTACTGAAGTATGATAGACAGGCTCTCATTCGGCTTAAAAGGCCCACTTTTTACGGATTGACCTAAAAAAGGAACAAAGCAAGCAAGAGGGGCGAGAGATCAAGGGCGACTCACCCTTCTTTCGCTCGCGGCAGCTCGCGGACGACCCCTTGGCGAAATCCTCCGACGCGTACCCGTCGCGGCAGCCCGGCTCCGACCCATCAGCGGGCGACACACCGCCACTACAACCGGCGACGATGGAGAGGTTACCCATGCTGGCGCTCTTCCGGATGGATCCATCGGTGAGCCGTACGCCGAATAGCTTCACGCCGCGGTTGGGGCACGTCCGGGAGTGGTGGTCATCGTGACTGCAGTGGGAGCACCGCCGCGTCATCCCCCCGCCGTCTCCTCTGGATTCAAGCTTTGGAGCCAAACTAAGTGGACAGATTTCGGATTGGAAGATCGCTCGAGACGACGGCGTTGCAGAAGAGGAAGACCTGGAGATGTGATGAAGAGTAGAATTAGTTTTCTACTCTCAAGGCTTCCCCGGAAAGATTACCATCCAATGGTTGGATGAAGTATGGGTTCCACAAGCATGTGCCGTATGGGCTCCGCTCCTAAACCAATAAGGGAGGTGATCAAAGAGGTACTATCGAGAAATCGATGCAAGATATACGGAGAACAGATGGCGGCATTGTCCACGAGGAGGATATTATTTCAAGTAAACATTTCTACCATTGGTTCTACCTAATGTGAAGTCTCTTCATGCAAGAGTCGTAATGGGCCAACAGCTTTGCCCAATCAATTTGAAGGTATATTTGTCGGGTCAAATATTTGGGTTGCATATATTTTCTCAAATGAAAGTTATAACAACACATTATATTACAATTATAAGATTTATTATTGTCATTTTTAACATTTAGATATTGTTTAGATTTATGTTTTTTCTTATATCGTTATTATCTTATGTCTATTATATATAGTTCATTAAATATTGTATAATACTACATGAAATTTGATGTAAAACAATGGATTATTTGACGAAGTATTTTGGAACTAAAGAACTGTAAACTCATTGTATCTTAGCACAAACGACAAAACACAAGTCAATCATTGATGAAATCAAGCTCCACAATTATAACAAGCAATAGTAAGCCTTTAAAGCAAGCATATGGCACTGCAACCGCTTCCCGTGAAGCATTCCCTTATGAAGCAGATGAAGTTGGAGGAGGCGGCGGCGGTGGCTCTAGGTAGTCAAACAAGTCCGACGGCAAGTCATCGAACAAGCTATCAGGCGCCGGTGGCTGCTCATCTTCTCTCGCGAACGGCGATCCGTCGTACAAGAATTGCATGCAGGGTGACGACCCCTGGCAACCGAACTCTTCCGAAAAGCAGATCTCCTCGCCGGTGAAGTGGTCGAGGTAGTCGAGGGAAGGCTGGGGAAGGGGGCCGATATGCTGCTGCGGTGGTGGCGGCTGCGGCGGCATCGAGGTGTTCGGGAGGCGAAGCAGCTCCTCTTCAGTTGCTGGTTCAAGCAGGGGCGGTAGGGCCGTACCAAGGCCAAGGTTGCATGGGCTCGGAGCCATGCTCATGGCGTACTGGTTGTCCACGTAGAGAGCGGTGCCGCACTGAACGTTGGAGGATCCTTCTTCAAGCAAAACCAGATCGAGGCAGGTGTCCTGCTTACAGGAGAGGTGAAGTAAGACATCGCCATGGTTTCCTACGTGAGATCAGGCTGGTGATGTAACGCAGACTTACTTCCATGTTGGGCGGTGCTTCATATGAAGAGACAGCAGGTAACTCCTTATCGTTCTTGCTTGATCTGGGTGGGAGAGACGAGCGCGAGATCCTAGCCAGCCTCTTCTGCCGCGTGCTCCAGAAGTTCTTCACGTCGTTGTCCGTCCGCCCCGGCAGGTACGTCGCGATCCTCGCCCACTTGTTCCCGAACTTGGCTTGCAGATCCAGCACTATCCTCTCCTCCTCCGGCGAGAACTTGCACCCGCTTCTCCAGCCATGGCAACACCAGTCAACACAGCGATTACAGCCATGAACTATGCAGTGAATCCACCACAGGATTTGATTCGAATCAGGAGAAGGGATGACTTACGTTTTAAGGTCGGGCTTGAGTTTGTTGACCCAGCGGAGGCGGCAGGACTTGCCGGTGCGGGCGAGGAGGCCTTTGGATCGAATGGAGCTCCAGTCGCGGGGACCGTGCTTCCGGACGTACTCCATCAGGATCTCGTCCTCCTCGGCCATCCACGTCCCTTTCCTGATCGCCATCCCTCCTTCATCCCGTCTGCTGCTTCGCCTACCGCTGCTTCGGCTACTGCTGCTACCCACACTCCCATTGCTGCTGCTGGTCGCGGGCTTGGCCCCTTGCATTGGCTTCACTGGCGTCTAGCACCCGGAGTCCTCTGCATGAAATCCTCGCATGTACGTACAACCACCCACTAACCCACGTTTAGAGAAAGAGGGCAGAGGATATCAAATCGAATGCAGGTTTGCCCTCTGTCATCCGATGAGCTACCAAGGGTTGTGATATCAGGCACGCCTCCCCCTCCTCCTCCTTCCACGGAGTACCTCTCATTATCCATTACGACCACCACTAAGCGATTGTACGCATGCATGTGTATATGCACGTGTTCTTGTATCAATCAGATATATTTGGTGATGTTGGCAAGAACAAAAAGAAACAGTGTCAATAAATTAAATGAAGAATATATATATTCTTCTAATTCTCCTCCAAACCATATAATAACCATAAACTTTAAAATAAGAGATAAATATGAAAATTCACTTATTTCAGAGTGTGATATTTTGCCTGCATAAAAAGAAAGGGTTTGGTAGAGCATCGTATTCTTCTCCTTCATGAGAGTGAAGAAAGGATGACGGAGGGGTAATAGAAAAGTGGATGCACGTGCGACAGGTAGGAAACACACGTGGGGCGGGGCCCCACAATTAATCATGTCCACGCCCAACATCTTGCCGGAATTATATCTCACTCGTTCGGAGGGCCGGATTGGATTTATTGGAATCCACGATTTAATCTTAGCCTCTGAATCGAAAACATATGAACCGGGAGTCGAATGGGATGGGCAAAAGTAATGGGGCCGAGCCGGTGTCCGGGTTTGGCCCGACAAGATCGCACGAACGGCCGGACCGGGTCGGCCCGAACCCGGCCACGTCCCCACCACGTGCCCACGCACATGATTCGCCGGTCGGGGTATGGGCCCCGCTGATCCACGGTCAAACTGTGCACGGCTTTCTCCTCCCTCGGAATCATGGTGCGGGTCCCATCCTCACTCTCTTCGTCCCCGATCTGTGTGCGTATCTCCCTCTGGAAGATGAGTTTGCTGGGAAGAATGGATTACGGTTGATGATGATGATGTGATGATGGTTGACCAGGTGAGTGGGTGATGAGTGTGATTGTGCTGGTGCAGTCTTGGACACACCACGATGGCATGGGGAGGGAGATGAATGGGCATGGAGTGGTGGTGGGGGCACACTGTTCCTTGGGATCCCATCTCGTCCACGGACTGTGATCATTGCACAACTCAAAGGCAATGATAGACACAGGATGGCAGCATGTGAGTGATCATTACAGTGTTCAGAGTCATCCTGACACCACGCCACAACTGGTCAACTTGGGTAACACACTTGCCTCATCACGGAGGAAATCCATCCCATCCTAAAGATAATTGCATTTCATGGTTCTTGTCTGCATGTTCTGCTGTTGGTGCTGTGTCTCGCGCATATATATATATATATATATATATACATACATATATATACATATATATACGTGAAAGTGTGAGGAGTGGGAAACAGTCGATGGTCAACCGGAGGAACAGCCCTTGGTTTACGGAGCTCAGTGGCGCGTGGAGATGTAGAACAGAACCACTGAGATCAACTTTTTGGGGGGGGGGGAGATAGAAATAATCTAAAGAGTTGAAGGATTTAGTAGCAGCATTCATGATTGCGATAAGTGGGGAGCACTTGAAAGGCACGATCTACTATATAATAACCCTTCGCCATCCCCATACTCCCCAAGAGAAGACACCACCTCTTCAACAACAGGAGGCCACCATTTCCATATCTCTCTCACACTCTCTCACACATTTACTGTTGTACGCATCCTTTTCTTCAGCTGCTTTCTTTTCTATCTTTTCCTTTGCTATCAATCATATCAATGGGAGCCAAAGGAGGAGGGTGAAGGTAAAGGAAGCCAAAGGAGGAGGGTAGAAGTAAAGGAAGGGTTAAAGCTAACATTGAGAGAAGGAAGCAAAAGAAGAGAAAGCTGAGAAAGCCAAATATGTTGACGGAAAAGGAGGATCTGGCACTAAGCCTCAGCCTGAGCTCCTCCACCAATCACTTTGATCATTCATCTCCTTCGCGACCACTGCCATCGTCTTGTGTTCAGAAGCCGCGGTGGAGTCATCTCCTCTTCGCCCCTTCGGGTACTGTTTCCACTTGTTCTTCAGTTGGTAGATCCGGTGTTCTTGTCGCAAAGAAACCACAGATTACATGAGGTATGTTGATTGCAGAAGATAGACCGACGCTTGATGTCTGGCGAGGAGCAGGAGACGCGCAGCCTGTGTTGCGAATGATCGACGTGAACTGGGCGTCGTCTGCGGCTGCGGCAGCAGGGAGGGACAGCGAGGAGGAGGCAGACGCGTCCTCCCCCGACAGCGCCACCTCCAGCGTGGGCGGCAAGAGGGCCGAGCGCGACAAGAAGCATGAGGCGGAGCGACCCTGTTCCCGCGGCGCCGCCAGCGACGAAGAGGACGGCGACCTGGTCTCCCGCAAGAAGCTCCGCCTCTCCAAGGACCAGTCCGCCATCCTCGAGGAGAGCTTCAAGGAGAACAGCACCCTTAATCCTGTACCCTCTCTCTCTCTCTCTCTCTCTCTCTCTCTCTCTCTATATATATATATATATATATATATATATATATATCTCTCTCTCTCTCTCTCTCTCTCTCTCTCTATGTTGACCGTGTTGCTCCTTGGCCTTGGTGAGCAGAAGCAAAAGCTGGCATTGGCGAAACAGCTCAACCTGCGGCCAAGGCAGGTGGAAGTCTGGTTCCAAAACAGAAGAGCAAGGTATACTACTCCTCATACATATCGGAAATAGGGGCGTTTCAGAATGACACGAAGCCACACTGATGCCGTCGTTGGGTTCAGGACGAAGCTGAAGCAGACGGAGGTGGACTGCGGGTTCCTCAAGCGCTGCTGCGAGAACCTCACGGAAGAGAACCGAAGGCTTCAGAAGGAAGTCCAGGAACTGAGAGCCCTGAAGCTGTCGCCCCATTTCTACACGCAGATGACGCCTCCCACAACCCTCATCATGTGTCCTTCCTGTGAGCGTGCCTCCAAGTCCTCCACCGCCACCTCGTCGACGAACGCACCACTGCCGGAGCACCACCAGTTCCTCCCACACCACCGTCAGGTCTCTGCACCGTGGGCGCCCATCTCGCTTCGTCCGTCCTTCCTCGATGCCCCTCCGCAGCGATCGTAGCCTCCGTTGCCGCAGCCCCTTTCGCCCACCCACGCCACTCCCACCTCCATGAACAGCTCTACATGATGCTGAGTTTTGAGTAGTAACCTCTTTCGCTTTCATATGATGGAATACTGTTTAAACAGTATGTACTACTGTCAACACTGAGACTTTTGCGTGAGGAATCAGACGATGGATTATATGTAGTATTTCTTTTATGATTATATATATATTATATTGTTTTCTTTTTTTTTCTAACTATATATATATATATATATATATATATATATATATATATATCAAACTATTCTACTAATTCATTTTCTGTTGTTTCATTAAATTATTTTTAGCTTTTTTTTATACACCACTATGGACATGATTACAAGATGAAATAGTTATATATGATGTGTTCATAGAAAAAATGTAACACCCTTCACCCAATGAAAAATAATTACAAATGCCTAGAAATAAAAAATAGAAATAAATCTATTTTAAATGCCTTAAGGAATAAAATAAATTAAAAAATATATATTTTAAATACCTAGAAATAAAAAAAAATATATATCATTTATGATTTTGTATCTTAATTGGAACACCCTTAACCCACTGAAAAATTAGGAGCCATACAACATCATAATTTCCACAAAGTTTGCTTAAGAGAATTACAATGTCTAAACATGTACAAAACTCAATCAAATAAATTAAAATATCCATAAATAAAATCAATAACATATCCTACTCTCAAATATAAAATAAATTTACCAAATGATATCCAACCAAATATTTATTAAATTATGAATATCAAGAGTTCGAAACCTAAAATCAACCCAATTTACTTCCTCCAAACTCAATCTACTCTTTTTCAATAGGGATAAAACTTATCATAAAAGAATGTTTTACTAAATTTGTACATTTTTTTGCATTTATGCTTGAATTTAAAAAAACAAATAGATGTTAAACATTCTTTTATATTTATATAAAGATTAAAATATAATTTTATATGATTTTCAAATCATAACTTTTAACATAATAAGATACAAGATAAGTTTCAAGCATAGTCATTGAATATATTTTTCATAAGTGAATAAGAATTGTTTTAATGTAAAAGTTACCATTAACTAATCAAGGATCAATACACATCTAAATTTGTAACTAAGAATTGATATATAAATTCATAGATAATCATAACTATAACCAAATGCATATATCACAATACAAGTGAATATAAGTTAGAATACTGATGATTATTACAATATCCTTTATTTTTTAAATTATTTATGATATTCATGATTTTTATTTGATTATTTTAATAAATATTTATTTAATAATTTTTATATTAAAATAATTTTACATTGGAAACTTATTGCAAGGTTAGGGACCTAATTATGAATCTTATAATTTAAATATAATTTATGAAAGGATTCATATTAAGTTAAAAAAAAAAAGGTGATGACTAGCTAACTTAAGGATTGTGCCACTTAAGCTTGTTCCTTCGTTTGTGACACCTTCTTTGATATATGCTTATCATTTTATCGTCTTTTTATTAGCTAAACCTAAGTACTTATATAAGAAAAGAGAAGAAAATTTATCAAATAAGAACCTAGCTTGAACTAGAGAAGAGAAGAGAAGAGGAATTGAAGAAGAAGGAGATGAATTGCTTTGGCTTATCAAATAAGATTTTTATATCTAATGTAATAATGTTTATGATTCTTGTATTTAATGAAATAAAATTTATGATTTTTGTATCCATATCTTGCACCTTGATTTTAAGGTCATATGCATTATCATCTCTTCACCATAGATATCTTAGTCACTCATTGAGTTTTGTAGCTCACTCTATTAATATATTAAATTTTTAGCTTAGCTCGTAATGTATTATAAATGTTCACTTTGCATGTAATGTATTTTCAAATAAATCTTGATTGAATATGTTTTATTAAGTTTAAAGGACCTCTCATATTTGAAAGTTTAGAATACTCAGTTTAAAGTTTTATGTTGATATGAACTTACGATAAATGATTAATTTTATAATTATATAAATTCTTACTCATGTAGGTTTATAGGTGGATTGTTGTTAATAATTTTTTATAACCTTGGGTTTAATCGAGTTATCGAGTTATTGAATGATGTATTCAATGATTATAAACTACACAAATTTTGTAGATGAATAATAATTTAATACTTTTAGTATCCTCAAATATTATGTCTTGGATTCTATATTTAGATTGTGGATGAATCATAATTTTTTTAATTTGAGATATGTTTGTTGAATCTCAGATTTTGATGATAAAATCAATTAATAAATTAATGCTCTAATCCATGTGTTGAGATAAGTGATGCAGGACTAACTACGTAGAAAAAAGAAAAATAATTATGGAAGAATCAAACGTTGGACTGGAGTCAAAGATTGGACATCGAGTTGGAAAATTAGAGTATGCACCAGAACAGATGTTGCAGGAGTCAATATATAGGAGGATCGAGCGATACGTCGAATATCTGAACGATGAGCCGGATGTTCGCCGGAAGCTTGCTAGGAGTTCACCGAAAGTACACTAGAAGTTTCGCCAGGAGTTTGGATGAACAATTGACGTGCTGGACCACTAGATTGCTTGATTATAATTGTTTTAGCTTTAATTGATGTAGTTAGGTCTTAATTTGAGTTAGGTTTGGGAGAAATCTTACTAACTCAGGTAGGGGCCAATTGAGCCTAAATTAGGATTGAATTTGGCTTATTGTTTGGCCCATTCAGTGACCCAAAGCCACATCAGGCGGTGGCAGCGCTTGAGACTTGGCCTCTTAGGTGATTTGGGCGGTGGTACCTATCACGCCCCCTGAATTTAATTCTCATTTAGGAGGTGTGAACCTAATTCAAAATTGATAATATTATAATTCAACAAATAATCCAGGATCCAAACACACATTTGAGGCTACTAAGATATATTCAAGTCAGAATTCACCTCTACAATCCACAATTCATAAACCTATGTTGTTTATAATCATATATCATATCACTTAATATTTCATAAAATCGAAAGTCAACTCAACTAAACTATAACCATATCATAAATCTATAGTTGTGGGAATTTATATAATATATACTAAACTATAACCAACATGTATAATATGTTTATATCATTATACAATTTAAACTTAACACTCCTAAAATCTTGATATGAGAGGTGCTTTTCAAATATTTACAAGATACATCAACCTAGATTTGTCATTAATATTTTATTACATACAAAATGTACTTCTAGATTTACTCCAAAAATCTTCTAGCCATCAATCACCTTTGAACTACAAAAGATTTACCCAAAAAATCTTCTAGCCTTCAACTGCCTCAGCTTAATTTAAACATTTTCGCAAGTAACAAGCTATCCTGAAAAATTATATAGCAATAGAGTGAGCATATAAAGCTCAGCAAGTGACTAACATATCCATGACAAAAAGGACAGTTTCCAAACAAATAAGGTTTTAAGGCAGGGATATAAGATTTCAAAAATAGCCACTCGACGAATGCAGAATTACAATGTTGTATCATTCGAAGCATATTTTGTTCATAACAATGGAGTAAGAGCTAATTGGAGTATATCATTGGAATAAGAAGTATATTCATGACATGTGAAATATTTCAAAGCATATCAAGGACATATAACCATTTCAAAGCATATCAAGGATGTATAACCGTTTCAAAGCATATCAAGGACGTATAATCGTTTCGAAGCATTGGGCTAAAAAGAGCGAAAATTACGCCAAGGATATTGAAGCTACGGAGGTCAATTGACCGATTGGGTAAGGGAGACGGACTTATAAGCCCTTGATTTCCATACTTCTCAACCAATATGAGACTAAATGATCTTATTAATGCTCCCCGTAGGGGAGCCAAGGGCTCATAATCGAGATGCATGGCTCAAGTTTGCTTGGCTGAGGTATAGGCATGAGGCCCTTCCTCTAGCGCCAATCTTATAAGGGACCATTTGGTCGGTCGGCCATTGGTGCGACCCATAGGCTTGTGAGGAATTGTCTACTTTGGGCGAGGGGCGTACTCATACGGTTTTGTCATTTCGAAACATTTAAGCTTCAAAAGGCGTCTCTAAGGGTAAGAGAGACCTAACGGTCTTATGAGCCCTTGATTCTCATACTCCTCAACCAACGTGAGACTAAATGACCTTATCAATAATTAAATATAATATAATAATATAAATAGGATGGATACAAATATGAAGATAAGGTGGATAATAAAAAATACCATATTTATCACTTTGCTATATAGATAATAAAAAATACCCTAATTATCACCTTCTATCCTTCTCATCGTTTGCTCATTACGAGTAGGTCTCTGCCGGTATAACTGATGCATCTTATTATTTATTTTTTATAATATAATATATAATATTTTTATTTTAAGTTTTAAAATTAGTTTAATTTACTTTTATTTTATTAACTTTTTATTTATTTATGATTGATCTAATATTATGTTAAACCGATTCAATGTGACGGTTCATTTGGATTTGGCTTAAAGGGGAAGGAAAAATGATTGAAAACAAATCAAATGAGTGGTTGCGGGTATTGTTTTTTGTCCATCTTGGAAAATAGAGGTTTTCTATGGGAAAAAAAAGAGAAGAAAACAGTGAAATATTAGTTTTTTTTAGGGAATTTACCCAAATAGTAACGATGATACATATAACATTAGTAAATATTCGTCCATACAAACAATCTTATAGTTTGTCCGTCGATAGAGTTAAAATACCCTAACAAAAGAGTTTGAATTATTTAGGAATGATTCACTCTGGATTCAATTTATATCAATTAATATCTCTGAAAATTATAGGACATTGCGCGAGTATTATTGTAATTGCCAAAAAAAGGTGAAACTCTTTTGTGGACATAATAATGGTACAAATTATACCACTTGGACATAATTTGCACTCACACGAAACAGTTTTTGATGGATGATCTATGAACATTATATTGTTCGATTATTGTAAAGAACAATATAATTGCATCGAGTATAATCACATCAAAGTAGTTCGAAAGTTCCTCGTTTGATTTGTACAAGCAACCATATTATATTCGGTCACATCTCTTTTTTGGGATTAGATTTATTTCGTAGTAATTGTTTTTGTAATGATGGTTGTGCAATATGGAATGCCATTGGTTAACACATCAACTTCCAAAATCAAATCAAGTGGGACATAAAATTGCATTATATTTAGCTTTCAAGCATGAGAATGATGCTAACTAGTGATTTTTATGTCAAAGTCTTCTCTTTTTTTTTAATTGTTTTTTTTTTTAATGTCAAAGCATGAGAATTGGTTTCAGAAATACAATTAAAAATCATAATGAAAATGAAGGTTTTAATTGTCCTTTTATAATTTAGTCAGAATTCGGTGTTTCAGTTACTGCACCGAAATGTTGTTACAAGGCTTTCCCTATTGGATCTCAAAAATGGGACCCACTTATGCCTCAGAATTCCCCAATAGGAAGAACTTGTTTCCTGTTTGGTGGTCGGCGTGATGAGCCATGCCATCGTTTCACATGACGTGGTGTTGGGAGCCCCGATGCTTGGAACCCACTCGACGGCCACGTGGACTCGAGTCTGGATGGGCTTTCTTCATCATCAACCGTCTGTATAACCTCATTGCCACCACATCAACGGGCCTGATCAGCCTTGACCTCCTCATGTGCTTTTGGACACCGACCCTTCTTCGTCAATAAAATTGCTCTCATTCGATTGGGGGTGATTGCGAAGGGCAAGCAGGTAGTTATCAAAAGGAGGGAGCGAGCGGTGGGGGAGGGGGCGAGGAAGAGAGATAGAGAGATCGTTTCTTCGATTCGAATCGACGCAATAGGGGATCGCTTGCGGCGTGGGAATCGCCGCCCGGGGGTTCTTGATCCGTTTCTTGCTCCATCGGGAAACCCTAAAGGGTCTCCCCTTCGATCATCTGTGGTCCCTCTTTGGCTTTGCGTTTTCCGATCGCTGCGGTCTCGATCTGAGGCTAGTATAGTGGAGAACGTAGGTTTGGTTCGGTGCGTTTCGGATCTCAAGATTGGGCTGAAGGAATTGGAAGTATGTATATTGAGGAGTTGAGGGAGGGGGACACCGAGGGCGGGGGAGGTGAGCAGGAGAGATCGATCTTGGAGGTTTATGGCCGAAGGAATGGGCTTCTGTATGTGAAGAGGGCGGTGGTCGGAGTCGGGGCTCGGGTTCTCTTTTACCCGACGCTGATGTACAACATTGTGCGGAATAAGATCGAGCCCGACTTCCATTGGTGGGATCGAGTCGACGAGGTTTGCTTTCTTTGTCTTTCATCCGTTGAATTTAATGTTTGGATTTTTTTCCTTAATTGTGGTATTTTTCTTTCATCTCTTGTTAACTGACTATTTTTCTCTATATATGAATTAAGTAGAATTTGTTCATGAGTGGGCTTAGGCAGGTTGTTTTTGCTCATAGCTGACCCAAATGGTCTTTGTGTTTTAGGTTATTTATTTTGGGGCAATGCCATGACACTTCTGTCAGGCAAATGATGATTTGAGATTTAATCACAGTAGGAGAAGTGAAGGTTCTGAGCTGGGAAGCTGTCGGGGAAACAGGAAATTATAAGTTTGCTTTAAGTATTGAAATTATGGTGAATAAGAGCGGATTTAAATTTAAGTATTGTAATATTTGTCCAAGATTGAAGAGAATATTAAAAAACACATGTATATTTCATAGCGATATATTTTAGAGCATTTAACATGGCATGGCATAGTATTACTATGTTATGATTCGCTGAATTTTTATGATAATTTATGGTATCATTACATGTCAACGAGACCTAAAGAAATGCGAAATCCAATTCAAAGGTCTACAGCCTATCCTGATACCAACTGATCGTATTTGCAGTGTTTGAAACCAAATGAAATTTAAGAGGTTTCATGTAGCTGATTCAAATAGTGGGGATGTATGTGCCATTTTTTGTGTATAACTTGCATTTCTTTTAAAGAGTAAGTTCAAGACTATGATAGGAAAAAACATAATCTAATTGGTACTTTGATTAGTTTTTCATTTTATGTTGATCTTTAAAAAGTTCTTGTGAGTTTTAGACGAAAATTAGATTTGGTTATCCTATCTTTCTTCTGACTTTAATCTAAAGATGTGCGCTAGAACTCTATGTATTGTTCAAATATATCCATTATAACCCCAAAAGTGTAGGAAAAGTTTTGCCATTTTGGTTTGATTTTAAAATTTTAAAGTAAGCTTTGTTTGTGAATACTAATGTGTATCATGATGTTTATTTTAAAAAAATGGTACTCGAGCTATATATTTGAATGGAAGTTTTTGCAACATTCCAACGATGCAGTAATTGCATGGGACAAGGATTTTTTGTGGATTCTGAACGCTGGATGTCTTTTTTTCTTTTTTGTCTCACCTTATTTCAAATATATGTGATAATGAGTAAGCATTCCATGTGAACAATGAGGTTTTGTGTTCTGGTTCCCTTTGCGTCATGATTATATTAGAATGACACATGAATTTTGCATAAAATGTGTTACAATATACTAAATGATTCAAGTAATATAGAGATTCTTTCTGTTACTTATCCTGTATACCAAACAACCAATTAGATGTATCGGAAATGTAACTGCCTGTTCTTTCTTGATGATAAGTTATTATGTGAAATTGTATAATGTCTGTCAGGTTTGTTAGCTTTTCTTACTTTGGATGATAACTAACCCACAAGTCTTCTAATTTTTTTCGCCATGCTTTCTATATACAGAGTTTCACTAACATATTTGGTTTCAGTTTCTATTATTAGGTGCTGTTCCATTTCCTACTCATGTTCCTTGCTTAAAGCAACTTGGTGTTTGTGGAGTAATTACATTGAATGAACCATATGAGACCCTAGTGCCTACCTCATTATATGTGGTGAGTACTTTTCTGCTCGGGCTTTACTTTTAGCATTGCATTTTGTTGTTGTTCCCTGAGAAAGATTGTGATACACTGAATTGGTATTTTTGTTTCTCCTACATATGCAAAGCGGCATGGTTAGATCAATGCTTCTGAATTTAGAAACACCCAGTTTCATCACTTCCAAAAATATAAGTAACGACAAAAACATTTATTGGTTTACTAATTCATGGTTTGAATTACTAAGATGCATCGCTCTCTTTAGCTCGAAATGGCAAGGTTATTTCTGTCACAATTCCTGAGCACTTCTATCATTTATTTTTCTTTGGAGATGATATTCACACACAAATTTTATCCCATTCAGCTCAGTGCTTGGCTCTACATTTAGCTTCATAAACAGAATCATAACATCTGTGATTATTAGATTCTTGACCTTAAATTAAGCCAATTTCTTTTACTTTGTGATTCATGTTTTGAACTACTAAATGCATATTTCTATTTTAGTTAAGAATTGTACCATTTTGAAATTGTTTCTGTACCTTGAGAATGAGTAGAACTATATATGAGTTTCAGGGATTTTTTAGAATAATAATTGTCATATTCTCATGTTTGTGTGGTGAAATTGAGTTAAGCATGCCCTTCTTCCTGGCATCAGCTGGAATCAGGTAAGCTGAATTTTCATGATCATCTGATATTACCTCAGATCATATTAATGAATAAAAATCATAAGTCCTACTTGATTATCTTTGATGAAGAATAATCTGTTTGATGTGAAGATACCCATCAACTATTTTCAAGTTTCCCGATGGATATTACTCTTGGCCAATTTTGCATGTACCTGACCCAGCCTACTAATTAGACCTGAAGTTGGTGGTCTGGGAGCTGCATCATATTTCTGTTTCATTGGTCATGTATTTTCCCATATAAGTTAGTCTTGTGCCATGAAGACCAATCATAGGCCAAAACAATTGAACCAGCCTTTAATGAATGGATAAAGGTTATATATTTTTCACTTGTGTAGCAACCTTGCATAACTGATGTCAGTTCTCCTTTATGATTTTAGGCATGTTTATTAGTCTTAAGTTGTATCGTATCATACGCTAGTGAAAATTTGAACTATGGCGTACGGTTATCTATGTTCCCAGAATGTTGTCTTTCCATGAGTTGAAATATTTTAGTTATTAACAGATACAAATTTTGATATCTTCTTTTTATTGCGGCTTCTGAAATACTTCCCCCCCTATTTAGTGAGTAATTTTATGAACTTAAAAATCATTTATTTGGATATTTAGTCTTTTGGTTCTTCTGTGTAGTCTCATGATATTGAGCATTTGCGGATACCAACAAGAGATTACCTTTTTGCTCCATCATTTGGAGACATTTGCCAAGCTGTGGACTTCATTCACAGTAAGTGCTACATTCTACCTTTTATTATGATCAGATTAGATATTTTATTATGCCTCTGAGCCCTGATAACGGTGTTATGTTTTAAAGTTTGATTCATAGTGTGTTACTTGATCCCATTAGGAGGTTATGGCCAACAGCTTGCACACCATATCAAGAATAACATATATGCCATTTTGCACTTGCCCTATGAATTTGTAAGGAGTGATGCAACTAAAGATTCTCATAATTGCAGCTGATGTATTCTCTATTGCACTGTAACCATTTCTACTTTTGCGTAACTTGTGGTTGTAACATTTTATTTTAGAAACTGTTGCTTGCAATAAGAATAAGAGCAATGGTTGTGATATCTTAGTTTAACAATCGTTGATATTATAGTGACACTGATAATCATCTGCTGATGATACTAAGCATCTGCTGAGTATCTTTCAGTATTTGAATTAACAGGTGTCTCAACATATGAGGCTTTAGCAAAGGGCCTGATACACAAAGCCCTAGGATGGTTAAAATATTTATTGAAGGATGACTTGTATTCTGTATCCATCAAATGTTTATATTATTGAATAATGCAATCATGTCGCTCCTTCAGCATTCTATCTATCTATCTTTCTATTGCCATGATTCCTTATTTTTGCAGTTTTTTTTTTCATGTCATGTATCTACCCGTTTCAGTGACATTTACTTTTGGTTCTATGTTGACTTTGAAAAGGAAATTCCACCTGTGGGAAAACAACTTATGTTCACTGCAAAGCTGGTCGAGGACGCAGCACAACCATTGTTCTCTGTTACTTGGTTCGCTGAAGTTTTTTTCAAACAGAATTTTCTTTTTATGTTGTTTTTGATGTAGTGCTTGGTATTAAAATATTATTTTACAGATGCAACACAAGCAAATGACACCAACTGCTGCATATGAATATGTCAAATTAATTAGGCCAAGAGTACTTTTAGCTTCTGCCCAGTGGAAGGTAACTTCAAGCCTTTGTGCGCATTTTATTCCAATCAAAATCTATACCCTTCTTTGTTCACTTGTATGTGTATATCTTTCAACTAACTCAAATGCTGAATTTTGTAGCTAGTTGGAAAAATTGTGAAGCATATTTTAAAGAGAACATAATGACCTTTGAAAACTTTTGCCAATCAAGATTCTCTTACCATTAATCCATCAGTAACTATGTTCCCTTTATTCACTTTCATTAAGTTTATGATATAGCTTTATAAGGGAAAGCAGGGTTATGATTATTTGTCTGGTATGTCCTTAGGTTATGATTAAGTTCATATATGCAACTCTCCTTCTGACAGAGTTGACTGAATGAGTTTATAACTGAAGTTACTAGCAGTCCAAAGCATTGATTTTTTTTTTGAATGTTCTAATAGGCTTTCATTTATCAAAATTAGGATGTTTCATGTTGGCCATGCATATGTGCCCAAGTTTCTCTATGGAATATAGGGTCATCATAAAGGATAAGTTTATATTTACTCCTGAATTTGTGATTAGGGTTACGTGAAACATAATCTTAAGAGTTTAGAAGGGTAAAACTGAAGTTTCAGACTAAACCTGTAGGTAAAAGAGAAGTAAGTGATGAAGAGTCTTTTAAGGTTTTTAGTGGCAGTTTTAACCTTGAACAAGGGTATCAGATTTTTCACAGTTTCACTGGCAGTTTTGACTAATTGCAATTGGAAGTAGTGGCTTTGAAGTGAAATAATATTTCATAAAAGGTCAAAAAAAAAGAAAAGAAACTGATGGGATCAGGATGAGTATATTAGTGTTTATTGCTGATCTGTATCTGTGGTTTGGCTGAAACTATCTGATGAAGCATAATTGTTAATTGTACTTGTATTTTTCTCATGTATTTGTTAATCCTCTGTATGAATTTGGAAACTCCTGATGGTAAATAGCTGCTTTTCAGGTGAGTTATTAAATAAGAAACTAATTCATTCAGGAGTAGCATGTTTGATTATTATTATTATTATTTTTTCTGTAAGTTGTCTTAATCTGAAGGAAAGTTTGGAGTGTGTGTGCGATTCTTTTTCTCAAGTAGCATGGAGGATTGAAGAAGACATCCAATTTCAAGAACTTGATCTTGTTGGATCATTTTGCAGGCTGTCCAAGACTACTATAATCTGAGAGTGAATACAGTTGGAAGGTCGGTCCACCCCTTAGATCTCATTTCAAACCCACCTGTTCTAGCAGCAACTGGAAATTTTGCAGCTTTGGATGAGAGCTCCTTCGAGGTGGTATCACGATCTGACCTCGATGGGTATGACACAAACACAAACATTGGGAACACCGTGTGGGCAGAGCTGAGGTTAGTGTACAGGGTGCAACATGCTGGGCAAGCAGCCCTTACGAGGTTCTCATGTTTCTTGATCAGGTGTCACCCACGTGGGAGACTCAGCAACTCCAGAATGACGATCCCCGTTTACTGCGAGGGTTAGTAGTAGTGAAACTGTAAATAAGTCACCGACTCGTGGATCGTTCTCCTTTTGTTTGTGTCTTTGTCAAGCATGTATGTGTTTACGGTCTCTTATAGAGGCTATGTACCCAATACTTTTTCCACGACGAGTCCTCTTTCAAGGTGATGTAAGATTCTCGAAGGCCTTCTCCACCAAGTTTTTAGCCTGGCGGAGAAGGGGAAATATGGCAGTGGGATCCATCAGCTTTGCTTCATACATGTACTGTGCATATAGTTTGCTCGTCCATTTGCGCTTCGTTTCGTTCGATAAAATCCGCTCATCGAGTTAAACCAATACGTACATCATAAACTGTTCCCTCAATTCTAGAGAATGTCTACCAAGTGTATGAACTTTTGTCTTCGACGTTACTTACATTCATTCGTAGTATAAGGGTTTAGGGATTCCAACATCGTCACCAAGTTTTTTTTTCTAATTTTTTATTATTTTCTCTACCTTCTTTTCATTTCCATCGGGCATGATGGATTCATTTTTTTTTTTTTTTGACATTTGAGCTTCTTAATATATTCTAAAATTATGATAAAAATTTGACCCAAAAAATCAACTTCTAGTATACAATATCTGGATCTTGGTTGGATCCCAAAATCAACAGAAAGGAATGGTCCAAATAATATAAATTTTTCAGAAAAAACTTTTAATTGAAACCAGATAGATTTCTATAATAATTTTTTTGATCTAGAATTTTGTTATTTTTTTAGAATCAAAATAGTTTGGTGTTTTCTTTTTTTTATTTATTTCCATCAAATCATGATGGATGCATGTAATCTTCTTTGATTTTTGGGCTTTTAATATGTCCAAAAGCTATGATAAAAATTTGATTCAAAAAAATTGAACTCTTTGATATATGATTTTTTTTTATATTTCTAAAGACTATTTAGCTTCTTAATAGTTTTTTTTTATTTTCTACTATGATATATATAATAGCTTCTTAATAATTTTTTGATCTTAATATCTTGTGACACTATTAAGTGCCCGATCGACTCGTGACAGCTTGGTAAGGAAGGATCTCCGACATCATCGATCGATCCCATTTCGCAACCCATCCATCCGTACTATATATACCCTAATTAATAATATTCCAAATGCCAACTCATGCAACGAATGAGTCCAGCCGAATTATTAATATATAGTAGTAGTTAAGGCCATGGACGAGGATAATTCCATGGATAACAACACCACCACAGTAAGACTTGTCCTATTTAATCATCATCTAATTCGTACGACGTGGACGGCTAATTCCTCTTCTTTTGTCCACATGCTCTCTAATGATATGAGGTTTCAGGCCTAACAACACCATGATGCATCATCCTAACCCCATCACCCTACCCTCTCCTCGGGATCGACAATACAGTATTTTAATTCGCCAAGTTCTTAAGCTCATCCGTCCCTATAATTAAATTACATTAATACTCGGTTTAAAAGATCATTTTATAGGATTAAAAATAAAAAAATATTTTATTAAAATAATAGGTTCACTTTCATATATAATTTATAGATATGAAATCGACGCAATAATGATAGAAAAAAAAATCTTCTAAATGTATTATAATAAAAATCATTACCATTTTTTTATTTACTGTGATAAAAAATACCAAAAAATAAGAACTTCTTATTGTGAGTTGCTTCGATAGAGCACACAAAAATGGGAACATTAGCACTTCTTATTGTGATGTCGTGTGATGTCGTTTACATACAAAATAAACGCGTGATGGCTGGGACGGACCAAACAGCCGATCGGCAATCGGCGTCATCGCGTGTCGCCTCCTTATCGACAACAAAACACGGCGTAAGGCACCGAACAGCTAAGACATCAAACCAAAACGTTCCACGTTTACTCCACGCCCTTCATATACCCCCGACTCTTTTCCCTCCCCTTTTCCCTTACTCGAACCACCAAAAGCATCTCCTTTTGCTCTCCACACACTCCGAGAAACCCGACCAGAGGAATCGCCAGGGTTCTTCTTCCTTCGTCGGACTTCAATCCGAGCGGAAGGCACCGAATCTTGTTGCTCGCTTCGTCGCTCCTCTCAGATCCGAAGCTTCGAATCTCTGTAATTCCTAATCTAATCCCCACTCCATCGAGGAAAAAAAGCGCTTTTTCTTCTTTTTTTTGTGACAGAAAATGGAAGCTTTTTTTAGTCCTCGCAGGTAGATCAAAGCGTCGGAGAGGGGACATGGGGAAAAACCAGGGAGTCAGGATCCTTTTGGGCTTAACCTTCTCGTTCCTTTCCCTCCTCCTCCTGTACGCGTGGTATTACTGTTATCGGAGGAGATTTTCGTCGAGGAGGAGCAAAGGCGGCTCCTTGGAGGACGGCGGTGGTGTTCGATATGGGGGAGAGGAGGAATTGCAGGCGGAGGAGCTTATCAAGTTCGCCGGAGGGGAGAGTTTGACGGCCCACGACATCTTGGACGCGCCGGGGGAGGTGGTCGCCAAGTCGGGGTACGGGACGCTTTATCGGGCTAGCATTCAGAAGAGCAACTCGGTGGTGTTGCTCCGGTTCGTCCGGCCAGATTGCGTTGGCCGGACCGAGGAGGTGCTGCCGGCAGTCCGGACGTTGGGATCGGTCCGGCACCCGAATCTGGTGCCGATGAGGGCCATGTATGTGGGGCCGAAGGGGGAGAAGCTCTTTGTGCATCCTTTCTATGCCGCAGGGACTCTAGCACAGCTCCTGAGAGGTGAGTTTTTCCATCTACCGTTTCAGCGATGTGATCTTCTTGAGGTTCAACCTTGCAACTTTGTGGCATTTGAGCTTAATATTCGAGTTAATGATCTTCTTTTCGATTGTTGATAATTTGGATCAGAGCATGCTTCCTTTTTGCTACCTGCTTTCAAATTGGAATGTAGAATTGTTCATGCAGAAATCTCTTCTATCATTGGCAGCTGGTGTTGCTGAATCGCACAGATGGGATATCATCTACAAATTATCTTGTGGCATCGCCGGGGGGCTGGATCACCTGCACAATGGGTATGAGAAGACCATAATCCATGGCAACCTCAAATCGAACAACATTTTACTCGATGCTGATTTCCAGCCTCGCCTCTCGGATTTCGGTTTGCACATCATACTGAATCCAGCTGAAACCCAGGAAATGCTTGAAGCCTCAGCAGCTCAGGGCTACAAAGCCCCTGAGCTGATGAAGATGAAAGATGCCAGCAGGGAGACCGACGTCTACAGCTTGGGGGTCGTCTTGCTCGAAATGCTCACTCAAAAGGATCCCATCAATAACGATTTCTTGCAATCGAAGGATCTTCATCTGCCCTCGTTCTTGAGAATTTTGGTTCTCGAGCATAAAGTCTCTGATGTGTTCACCTCGGAGCTCCTAAAGGAGAGTATAAATCAGAATTCTAGTAATGAAGATGGTCTGGTGATGCTCTTTCACCTGGCAGTGGCTTGTTGCTCTCCGTCGCCTACCATGAGGCCAGACATCAAAACAGTTCTCGGGCGGCTCGAAGACATTGGTCGATGATGATCATCCATCCTGGGAGTGATGGTAGCTAGCAGTAGCAGTAGCAGTAGCAGTGGTACCAACTATTGTTGATGATGTGCTAACAGAGGAGACAAAACCTTAAATTTGCAAAAGTAGATTAGGACCCATTTGATGTGTTGTTGGCTTAGCAAATTTGCATCCCTTGTGACTTCTGGATCAGAGATCTCTGCGAGCGTGAGGAACATGTGGTTGTTGGTATGTGCATTTGTTTGGTTACAGAGGAACCATCATGCATGATCGATCCACAAGAGTTCCAGTTGACAATGTATAGTCTTCCCTAATGGGATTGGGAAGAAACATGTGGCCAGATAGATAGCTACAAGACATGGACAAATTTGAACTCTTGGAGAAAGTTAACTAGTGGGAGCTCATCTGAATCCCCTTTTGGTTGTCTTCTCTCCACCGCGGATTAGCATGAGTTGGAGATCCGTCATAAGAACATGAAACCAGCAAAATCCAATGCAATCAATCTTTATCTCTCCTTGGAGACTCCCAGTCTGATGCTTGTGGTCCTCGGTCCCCTACTGTTCTGTCGATGCATCGAAGAAGAAGAAATCATGTGATTGGTGCTTCTTTTATCTTGCCTATTAAATGGATTTGGCTAGATGTGCAGGGACCTGAAACCTTCACTGCCACCTAATTGTGGGGATTGGTTTTGGATGGTGTAACCTGTTGTTGGCAGACCTTCTTCACTGCCACCTAGTGATGAGGAGTGTGGTTTTTAGTGGTGCAACCAGTTGCCAAGTACAGCAGCAGGTCTAAAGCTTTGTGGATTTCATTCATGTTTCCAAATCCAAACCAGGCACTGAGGTGGGGAACCCACTCGGCACACATGAGAGATGAGAAGAGTCAGAGAAGTCTTGCAGTGCCAGAACATGGTCTCACCCTTGATGTGAATATGAGATGTTTATCTCTAACATGCAATTGAAGAAGGATGGCTGTTCTCTAAAGATTATCTCTGACTTGCACAGACACAGATCTGTCTCACCCATCACCAAAATTTGTCCTCAGATGATTCGTATTAGAGTGGCACAGAACATCAACTTCTCTTGCACTGTGTGCTGATTCGAAACTGGACACTTTTTATTGTATTAAATGTAATCTTTAGATGTTAAATGATGGCCTTAACTTTATTCAATACCTACCATAATCATATTCCAGCATACTGGACAGACCTGACTGCCGCTCCATACAATAGCCAGAGATTTCCACATCTAAGATGTTAAATATTGAGGATTAAGTGGTCATGATAGGAAGGCACATTACCCATGTCAGGCCATGGTTAGTAGAATAATGACATCCTGGTTTATTTATTTTTCTCTTAGAATGCCATTCTAATAATCTCTGAATCTCTGTTGTTGGTGTCTGTGGCCTACGCTTCTTCGCCTCGGCTTGAGCATGAACGATAATGACGGGGATGATCGTGGAAGCGGAGTCTTTCGCCCCCCCTCTTTCTGCCGGTGTTACGGTTGAGGAGGAGGATGAGGACTCTGATTCACTTCAAATTTGCATCATCATATCATATATGATCAAGGTATGTCTTGAGCTTTGTTCTTAGCATTTGAATGTCTTGAGCATTTGAATCAGGTCGAACAAATCCCTGCTTGGTTTTATCACATGATAAGGAGCCTCTATGAAAGTATAATCTCTTGATGAATGATTTTGTTTGTCTGCAGTCATTCCAGAAGCAACCGTTTGTTTGTTTTCTTGATTCATAAGTTTTACTGAAACAACAACACCATGTAGTGAATTGGCAATGAACATCTCTCCCTTACAGTATCTAAATTACACACATAGAACTTCAGAATCTTGATCGTGGATTTGTCAACATATCCCTCCAAATAAATTCTGCTTCGATTTGTGCTTTCAGAAATAGGCTTATTCGTAGAAATGGCATGGAAAGATGAACTGAAGGGATGTTCTAAGATCAAACCAATTATTGTCTTCGGAAACCAGAATAAATTGGTGCCTTGAAATTTTGTCACCTGAAATCCTTCGTTTATATCTGCCACATCAATAAACTTCATAACATACATTAGTTGATTGCTAGCTAGATAAATATCAAAGGAGCAAAAAGTTGGAGATCAGACAAAGATTCAAATAGGCCAGTATCCATGGCTACCTCAGTTTTTTTTTTGTCTTTTGGAGAATGCTTCAGGGATGAAGCTAAGAGGACTTGAACAAGCAGTGATGGCAGCAGCAGAAATCATGTAAGAACAGTAGCATTGAGTAGGGAATGAAGAATTATTGACAACCTCAGAGGAACTAGCTAATAGAGAAAAAACATGGTCAGGTTTGATTCTCATTTCTTTTATTCTAGTAATTTATCTTGGGACAGAAACATGGTTATGTATATTAATAACAAAGAACAGATGGTCATGAACAATTAGTAGAACTCTAACCATTTTGTTTTTTGCTTTTTGTTACAATCACATAAATACCACTATGCCCGCTAATTATCACTCTAAAATCTCGCCGTAATGGGAAAAAAAAATCATTTGAAAAAGTTGCATTAAGATTCGGAACGAAAACATAATTTTATTTTTTTTAAATTTAAGATCTGTAGAACTTTCAATGTAGATAAATTTTTTAAAGATATTGTCTCCAAAATTTCAGTGGATCGCCGCTAATAAAAACACGAGTGACTAATCCATGGACTGGATCCGGCTTATGTGAGCTCTTGATCATGCCGAGGAGAGAACCATGGGCCTCAAAGACATTATTGCTCTGTGGATTATTGGATTGAAGGGAACTTTGAAGATGGAATTCACTGCACTTAGTTTTAGCATAAATAAAAGCATCATAGAATTGCTTTAGAACGGTGCCGGATTTTTCTCCATTTCTTCAGATATTACACATGACCTACCTAATTACTTTTGATCTTTGTCAGTTTTGCAAATGAGAATGATCTGTTTGAGATGTTCCACTTCCAAGGATTCTTCAGCTACAGTCTTCAACTTCCCCTCAGGTTCATGATAGAACATAATGTCTACTGATGTAGTAGGATGCTGCTATCAAGTTCAGATTGGCATCACTTTACTCCTCACAAAGTGAAATCATCAAAAGCTAGATACCCCAACAAGAGGCTGAAATGAAGCCCTTTTTTTAAGCTTTCTAGGAGAATAAAGTCATAGAAGAGTGTCCCCATCATCAAGTAATATTCCTCTCTCTCTCTCTCTCTCTCTCTCCCTCTATCTCTCTCTCTCTCTCTGTCTCTCTCTTGCTAAAATAATGTGAATGTAAGCTCTGTGTCTATGTTGCAATTTCTATAGAACAGAAGGTGATCAAAGATGGTGAGACACTCCATCAGTAAGCAATTCACCTGAAACCCTTTTTCCCTTACCCAATTTCAATGGTTGATACTAATGGCATTGTAAAGTCACAATGAATGCATGACAACAAAAATATAATGAAGTATTATAGCCATGCATTCTGGTTGGATCACTCCTAATATAAAATGATAACTCACTAACTAATAAGGAAAAGCTAAGATCAATTTGATGCCCTTCACATGTTACATGTCCTCTCCTTGTCGTTTCACATCTTTGTATGGAACCATTCACTATTGTTTATTGTCTCTTAAACAACATCATCACCATCACAAAACAAACAACCAAGGCATGTTTGTTGGCATTTATTGTCTCTTAAATATAATCCTTGCATGTTTGTATGCAAGGATTATATTTTTCTATCTTCTCCCTCATTAGTATCTAACATTTGTTTATAAGATCGTCGTCCTATAATGTATAAAAATGAATTCTCGCTATCTCCTAAATCCTATATTGTCATTATGTATAATCATCTATTCTTCTCTTTCCTTTTTTTTTTTTCTATTTTTCCAGTATTTATCATTTAATTATTTGTGTACATTTGGTAGGGTTGCAATTCATCTCATATTAATTAGAGAGTCTGAAGAATCAAAACCTAATTAAGAGTGACTCCAAAATCATATTTGACACGACTAACAGTTCATGAAATCATATTTGACATTCTAAAATATCCATCCCAAAAGGTTTGTATCGATGACACGATTAACATTGTATAAGATTATAATTAGCTATAATGATGACCAGATACCTTTTTTATATGGGTTGCGCAACAGGTGTTCGACCGAGTGCCACTGAGCCCAACCGAGGAAGAGAGCGAGTCCGGCAGGCACCGAGTTGTCCGAGGGGCACGCCCGGCCCAAAAGCTCTCTCGCTCTCCGAGTCGTCTCACGAAGCAGGCGTGAGAGAAGAAAGGCTGTCTGTCGGTGGTGGCCTCATCTGCCCCCCCTCCTCAAACCCCACACTCGTTCCAGGCTTCACTTGATCCAGCAGCTCCATCACCTCGAGATTTCCGAGACCTCTTCCCTCTTCTCATCATTCCAATTTGATCTCAAAGCTGCGTTCTTTCCTGGGTCGATGATGTGCTGCTGAACGAACAGAGATGACGAAGAAAAGAGTCCCCTTCCTTTCGTAGTACCTCTTCCATTCTATCCTCTGCTTCTGTGTAGAGCAATGTCTCCTCAAGAAGAACTATACTTGGGATTTCACCCGAGCAACACATCGAACGACTCTTTGACTGCAGATCCCATCAGCGGAAGTGGCGGTAATAATGATTCCAAGTGAGGTAGGGACAGGATAAGAGCTTGGTTTCTGGGTCACCTTTACTTCCATCAACAACAGGCCTTCTTGCGCTACTGCAAATTGCACATGATGATGATGGTGATGGTGATGCTGCTTTTGTTGCCGACTCAGTGGGTGACTCCAAAATCCCTCTTCGCCATCATTCCTCTCGGTTAATCCACCAAGAATGCTGCTGAGCATTGAAGTTTTGCCTTTCATCTCTCTCTCTCCACAGCAACACTAGGGCTATGTATGAGAAGGCATTCTCTTTGTTGGATCTTGAATGTCAAAGATTAACTATAATTAAACTATAGATTGGTCTGAGATATTTATCATGGACTGGACATGGCAGGCAGCACCACTCGGTCAGATCTCATTTATTCCTCCTCTCTGGTTTTGGTGGAATACTGAAATCATCAACCCTTGCTGGTCCAACATCAATCAAAGGTGTGAGTGAG